GGCAGAAGAAAATACTTATACCTTGTTTGAGAAATATTTATATACATTCAACTGACATGAGAATGTATACTCGCTATTGCATTTCAATATAAAAATATATAAGAATCTGGTCAGTACAAGATAAGTATACTTCAAACTGAACACCAGAGGGTGCTATACAAGTCATTGGCTTTTCTTACCACCTTTACACTTCTTTCAAAGTTTACAAACTGTTATTTTCTTTTTTTTCTGTTTCCTTAATTTTAAATGGCACTATACCATTATAACATCTTGGTATTAAGTGACATTACAAATTTACAGAAAATTTCCACACATAATTTCACTGCATCTGAAAGTCATTTCATGAATTGTCACTAAAATTGCATAATACATATCTCAGCAAACACCCTGCCCTCATTCACCATGTTGTCATGGTAACACATGCAATTTCAGGCAATAAGGTATGTTTTATACAGTTTTGAAACACCCACAATATAAGTTAATATGTTTAGGTAACTAGTCAGTTAATACATGACCCCCACATAACACAGGGTCAGAGAATTTCCCATCAATATGTTTTTCACATATTTTCAAGATTATCATCTACAATAAATCTATCCTCCTCTGCTTTAATAAATGCTTCTGCTTGATGCATTTCATCGACGGGATCCTCCATCACCTCGCCAGGACCTTCTTCATCTTCTTCCTCTTCATCCTCTGACATCAGTCTGCCAGCAAAACTATCTGATGCAGTGCCTGGTGTGCCAAAACGACTGTTATCAAAACTGTACCCACTTTCATTGCCCCCAAAGCTCATTCTACTTTCATCATTGTCAGTAAAACTCATTCTGCTCTCATTGTTACCAAGAGAGATAAAAGATTCATCATCACTCTGTCGCTGCAGAAACGAAGCATCCTCATCATCAATATCACTATCTTCCTCACTGTTCTCTGGTGAAAGTTGTAAATCATGGTAGAGCACGCTATTTTCTTCCTCAAGGTCAGCCTGAAAATAACATATAATAATTCACAGTTTATATTGATTAATCAGGAATTAAGCTGCAATTTATTTGCACTCACTAATATTCGTTAACTACATAACAAACAATGAAAACACCTCTGTTAATTGACGGCATATTCAAACTTTCGCTTTTCTTGACAATGAACAGAATAACAAATTAGCACGTAATGATGATAGAATACTAAAGAAGAACAAAACACTTAAATTTGTTTTTGGTTTTTATTTCCTATTTAAATGCCACAAACAGAAAACATGATGTATAATGATAATAAAGTTATCATCAGAACACTGCAAAGTATGCAATCTGGCAGTATGGGATCACATCATCTGAGACGTACCGCTTTCATGATAACCTTATATTATCATAAGCAGACGATGTATCCCTGGTTTGATTTTTCTGAAATTAACTTGTGGAGAAAGACCGAGTTGAACTCTGACAGAATTTGTTTTTGCTACATTAAATCTGTTTACCATAAATCCATAAACACAAGCAACTAAAAAAAAACATGACTACTATTATGAAACAAGAGCTTTATGAGAATATTGTTTACAATCTGTGGATGTTAGGAGCACATTTACCTCTCTGTCGTCATAGTGATCATAACCTTCCACATCGACAAATTCACCATCTCCGTCTCGTGTCTTATCAGTAAAACTGCTTGAATCATCAAAACCTAAAAAAAGAACAGTAAAAATATGTCACACAATATAAAACAGATTCATACTAAAAGTTAAAATCCAGAATAAGTTGGAGGATGGAAAATAAAAAATAAATAAAGACATTTCGTCTGAGGTAGCCATGAAGATATCTACTTTTTCCTTTTCATTAAATTTGTTGCGCCATAGTGACAGTTCCCAACATAATATTTGTTTGCATTGCAACTGGTTAGCAACAAAGAATTAATAAAATAAGGGTATGTAACATTTATAACGATAAACAATATGCAATAAAGATCTCATGAGAAGTGAACTCTTCTGATTTGCAAGCATATGAAAGCAATCTCCATTTCATATGCATCAATTGAACAGAGTTGTAACCAATAATGCCTCAGAATACAGTGGGTGCTTCGGGGATGTTGGACTGCATAAACAGTGATATTATCACCACACTCAAAATCTTAAAACACCTGAATGTCTGTGTGTCTTGTGATTGTGTGATCATACCACAATTCAGAT